ACCAACACATACTGATACCTGTCAAAAATCTGATTTGTTGTTTAACAATAATAATTAATAATAGTACTTAATGACAGTACACATGGGGAAGCAAGGCCTTGCTGGTGGGACTGTGGGAGTGTGAGCAACACAATAAGAGTGTTTACCCTTCCCACGGAGTGGAGCCTGAGAAGTAACTCCTAGCTTCAATCTGAGCCATTTATGGAGTGACTACCCATAGAATTTGAGAAGTGTGCCATATACTGTATATATTTTTAATTCTATCAAATTGTAAGATGATTAATCTGGCCAAAGCTTTTCTGAAAGTGGATGGTCATGTTTCACTTTTTTGACACAACGTCATAATGTTGCAAATATTGTATAATTTCATTGTAATTCATTTTGCATACATGTGTCATAACATATCATGATATATGCACTGACCACCAGTGTTCCATCAGCACTATCGCTTATATACATGTGATCCAATCATACTCTAGTGGTTTATTCATGCTGTATATTTTATTAAGTAAATCAGCCTCATTATGTGACTCATTGGTAGAAATTATCAAATCAGATCGTAATTGGCAATTCATAAACTTTTGCTTCACAATTGGAGGGACATCTTGTTTACATTATATTTTTTAATATTTATATGACCAATATAATTAAATTTGTATTGCCAGCCTGATTAAATATTTTCAGAATTCTAAGAAGGATTCTACAGTAAGCTCTATGTCTCGCACCACATTATCTGGCAACAACAATAATGCACAAAACTGTTGTGCAATCCATGGTACTAACCTAGTGACCTACCATCCATTTGAACTTTACCTTCTGTGTGAGTCCATGTCATAGATGAGCAGGAATGAGGAAGAAAAATAGTTACATGTAGTAAAGCTTCTTAAGATAAATAAATATAATAAATTGCGTCTTAAGATATAAGCTCCTTAACATTAATACATAAATAAATAAATACATAGGTAAATAAATACATATGATGAATTGCTTCTTAAGATATAAGCTTCTTAAGATAACTACATACATAAATAAATAAACAGATAAATATGATAAATTGCCCTTGCACACAATGTTTCCGCCTATTTGTTAACATTCACTTTGCTAAGTGTATACAACACTCTGACTGTTTTGTATTCATTTTCTCATAGCAGTGATTCAACAAGAGTGATCACTGAAGAGATTTTCATACAGGTAGTGTGTCCTCCGGAAGCAATAAATCTGTATATAAAATGGCACAACGAAAACTATTGTAAAATAATGTAATGTTGCAAATAAGTTAGGAAATTATGCTATCACAGCTCAAGCACACATGTATATTGCTTCATGGGTGAATGGTGTTTCAGCAAGAAAAGGGAAGGAAAATATACAATGGTTTTCCTTTATGATTTTATGACAGCCCTTGTACTTTTCCTTGATACTGAGCACTACAAGAGGAATTGTGATTTGTTGCAACATTTGGACTCTTGCCTCTGTCACAGTTGCTAAATTGTAAGTAATAATGACAACAAATATCCAGCTTCCTTTTCAAATTTGTTTCAAATGCCAATCTGTTTGTGAATGGGCTGTTGTTTAAGTGCATCCAGTAGTATTTAAAATGCAGCTCAAGCCAATACCTTTGTTTGATTGTGGATAGTATGAAGAGGGGTTAGAACACCTGTCAGTTTTTTATTGCTATGTGTACATCCATTAGGGAGATTGATCTTCTCTATTTATCCTGCTGACCATTATTACTGAAAGTAAAAAAAAATCCTAAAATTTGTGTAGTCACAAGAACAGGAATAGATTGGACCCTGGTACTGGTGACCCTGCTGATTACCAAGGATTTTCCTCACTTTGGAGGGATATCCTCTTATTTTCTGTTGTGGCTATTGCACAGGAAGTGAAGTGAAGTCTCCTCAATGAAACACATATGGCAAATAAAAGTTGATAGAGGTTATACCCTCCCTATCCAAAACTAATCTGGAACAAATTGTTATATATATTTTTTAAAGATTAGTAATTTATTAAGCACATTTTCATGTTTTACAAACAGAACATCATACAGTACATTCTGCAGTATATAATACTTATTGCAAGAAATGGAATTTCCACAGTAACCTACGTTAAAAACCACATTGGGTAAAGATATAAGGCACATATATCCAAACAAATTCCTTGGACCGTTCACTGTGAAATATGTATACTGCGCGATCCGGAATTGTATTATGTGGGAAACATAGGTAGTAAATCGTACGTGGCCAGAGTTATTGTGATAAGGTAGTGATGACCAGACACTGTGTCTCAAGCAGGCTCCGTGCTTCCATCACGTAGAGAATTCCAGCAATACAGAAAGAAAGTCTGGCAGTAACTGCAAATATAAAGTGCAACATATAGTAGAAAAGAAGAGGTGAAGAGGAAAGAAGAAAAGAAAGAAGAAAAAGGGAAAATTAAGAGACAAAAAAAGGGCGAGGAAAAGAAAGGAAGGGAAGGTCAAGGGGTACCAGTAGGGGGGGGGGGAGCGTTAGGAGGGCAAGTGCCTACCTGGGAGTCCAAGGGTATTAGAATTAGCACAGGAAGTGCAGATATAAGGTTTCAGTCCCGAGTAAGTAAGAGCCATGGAGAGATAAGAAGATGTGTTTGCGGTCCATTGAAGAAAGCAGGGTCTAGAGCACCCAGGAGGGAAATTAGGATTACAGAGAATAGGTGTCATGGGCCCATCAAAGGACAATATGTGCCAATACCTTACTAACCTGTTTCAAACGGCAAGGAGGGGAGGTACCGCAAATAGTAACGGTGTTTATGAGGTCTAGAGGCAGGGGTTATCCAGCACAGGGAAGAAATCAGCACCGTCAGCAGCGAATTCTCCAGTTGGACCCAATCCTTGTGATGGAAGTTATGAATGGCATCTAAAATTCTTGTTAAATGGCAAGCCATATAAAAGCGTTCAATATGCTGTAATCCAACACCTCCACCCCGCTTTGGACGAGTCAGCACATCTTATCCAAGGCGTGCTCTCCTGCACCTCCATATGTAATTGAGCAGGCCTAGTTTAAGGGAGCGAAAAAAGGATGGAGGCACAGCTATTGGGATTGTTTGAAATAAATAAAGTCGTTTCGGTAGTATGTCCATTTTGTATAGCGTCATGCGGCCAAACCAGGAATGGGATTTTGTAAGCCAAAATTTGAGTTTTTGGGAGATAGATGATAGTAGTGGTCTATAATTTAAATTGTAGATGAGTTCAAGGTGCGAGCGCAAGAGAACACCCAGGTATTTTAGGGCCTGTGTCTGCCATACGAAGGGATAAGATGTCTGTATCCGGGTAACCTCCCGCTGCTCCAAAGTAACATTTAATGCTTCTGTCTTGCGAGTGTTGAGGGTGTCACGTAGTTGAGTTTTAAAAAAGGATGTGTAGCCGTCAGGGTCAGGCTTTTTCCTTTAGGCAAGGAATTAATAGTCTCTGTGACTTCCGAAAGCGAGAAGGGGTCTGATAGGCAATGGCGGCGGCGCATTAGGAGGGTAAGCAAGTGGAGGACACATATGAGTGTATATCCTCTGACAAATGGCTGGAGGGAGAGGAGGATGCGGGTGATATATTATATAAAGTGGAGTAATAATGGTGAAAAGCCTTTGCTATCTGTTTAGACATATGAACCCGACCTTGCACAGGTCAGTTGATTTTAGAAATAAAGGTACACGCTGGTCTATGCCTGATAGATCTAGCCAACAATTTTCCGCACTTGTCACCAAATTCGTGGAAGGTGCGGAGAGTGGCATCAGCGCGTATGAGAGAGTGACATAAGCCTCAAGAGTTCAGAGCATTTATCTGACAGTTTCTGAAGCGTCACATAGTCAGGGTTAGATTTGTGGACCCATTCCAAATCATGTATGTCCGAATCCATTCCAAATCACGTATGTGTTACTGACTTGTTGCATTGTACTTGGTTTTCAGTTACTGTGTTTATATATGAGAAATCCTGTGTGCTCACACAAGCAATATGGACCTACAAGCTCCCCTGCACCCTACAGTAGCTATTTGTGATAGGCCCCCATAGCAAAACCATTAAGAGGTCCCCTGCCTATTTATTATACTGCTTAAAAGCTAGAAAAAAATTACTTTTTAGACACCACCATGACCACTTCAATGTATATATATATAAAAAAATCTATTTTATTGTGTACATTGTTTGTTAAAAATATATAGCAAGGTTAAAACCATCAACATATATAGTCTGATTTACAAAACTGTGAAATTGTATGTCTATCACTATTTACTATGTCACCATCAGGGTATGCGACTACTTTACAAACAATTTTGGCGGTTTTCCTACTAAAACTACTGGTCATCAGGGCAACATTTTGGTGGGACCCTATTTTTTTTTGAGTGCCCCTTCTTGAAACATAACGTGGTAAGATTCTTTTATTTAGCAGGAACAGTTTTTTTCAATGGGACTTTTGCTGGTGCACATCATACAGGTGTGTCTCTGCACATGCAGGTTTAGGGCATACGCCAAGCATGTTATTTAAAGGAATTTTTAATGTTGCCCTTCAAGCAAGCCCCGCTCCCTCCTTCCTTCATCCTGCCCTGTAATTTAGCAACCCTAGCTGTCCCTGGACTTAAATGTGCACCAATGAATGCAGAATTTGTTGTAGAACGTTTTCATCTCCTATTGTAGGTAATCAGTTGTATTGGGGTTAGTAGAATAAAGAGTGCTTACTTTGTAATGTGAACATTTTTAATTTTCTGTGTCACATTCATATACTTTAATTGTTCTATTTTCTTAGCCACGTGCATCCTATAACTGGCTGATGTCAAGGTGGTTTAAACAAACAAGGAAATACCCCGCATACAGCTGCAGTGTGCAGCAATAATATGCCAGTTTACATATTTCAAAACTATGGAGCAATTTCCAAATGTTGGTGGATGCCAATTTGACAATGACAGGGGTGTGTTCTTAGGACAGAGGCTACATAAAGCACATTGGAAATAAATGGTTGATATACCATATGTACAAACATATAGAACAGGACAGTCAGTTTTTATTTCTGATTTTGGCACATTCTACAGAGGAGAGAGCTTTCACCATTGATGGAGAGAAATGTTGATCAGAAGCATCATGCTCTACTTAATCAAGGAGAAGAAAATGAGATGGTAAGACTATTTTGTGCAAACTCTTCATAAAAGCAGATATTGCTTTCTGGGATTGTATATATGTGAGAGTTAGAAAAGAGAGAATTCTATAGTTTGAGGTTTGGCTTTCCTTGACACCAGCCCCATGTTCCACGCATAGAATAACTAACCCTTTGTAAGCCGTAGTTTTTCTCTTTTTTAAATTTTCATCAGTAAAATATTTTGTTATGCTTATACAGGTCTTTTGACAAAGAGGCATTTCCCATTAGTTTTTTTTTATAACTAACATTATATACACTCCTGCTGCAAGACATAAAAAAATATACTGAAAGAGAAAGATGTTTTGCCATTCATTTGTTTGGATCTGCCAATTAGTTTTTCTAAAAAAAGCATGCTGGATTATGTTTTTATGTATTTATTGGTTTATACTCTGCAAACAGTATTTTTAGTTCTGAATCCTTTATAATAACCCTATCATGCCATTCACTTTAATGTTATACCATGGCATGGTTACTGGGCACCAATTAGTAAGGTGGGGCTGAAAATGTTATGTGGATCATAACACTCACACCTGCTATTGCCTATGAATCAAACTTGTAACATATATCTCACTGTAGAGCTGCTTGAAGGAAGCCTGTAATGAAGGGAATATGTAGGGGGTCTTTGCTGTCCTCTTTTTAAAAATATGTGATGCCTGGCTTTGTCTAGCTTAAGTGCTTCGAGTCACTGACCTGAAAGCAGTAGTACTCACAGTGGTTTCTTTTATAAAGTGCTGTACCTAGAATGAAATGCGTCAGGGGAACTTGTTTCTTTTGACTGTTTAATAAAAGAAGAAAATGATTTTGCATCTCTGTGTGCGGTGTTCCTGCTACTGCTGCTATTGAGTGCTCAGGGTGGGTAAGGGTGAAGTTGAATCTCCTGATATGAATACCTGCTTTGTGTCAGTAGCTCAAATTATACTAAAACCAATGCATCAGCATAATAGCCAAGCAGTCAACATTTTCAGAAGGGAAGATGAGCAATGGCAAGCTAGATATTTCTCTAAGTACAACTTTCCTTTAAACTGTCTAGAAATAGCTGGTACTTTTTAAATTTCTACTGTCATTTACTAGTAACCAACAAGTTTGTAGTTTTCTGTTAAAAACAGCAGGAAAATTCTAGCACCGCTCTGTGCCTATAAAGTGCAGATCACTGTCTAGGATGGTTTTGCCCTGGATGAATTTTGTATGTAATTATAAAACTGGCCATACACTGTTCCAATTTTTGTCAATTCCTCTAAATCAGATGTGGGCACCCCCCCCCCCCCCCCCCTCCCCCTTAAACGA